TGTTGGAAAGTCGGCAAGGAAAGGAGTGAACAATTGATTTTCCATTAATAGATCATAGTTTCTAAAATTTCTGCAAGAGGTATGCTACGAGTTTAACAAAGGTAAAGAAATTCTTATTCTTCCCCAACCACAGCAACGAGCACCACTGGAAAGGGAGAAATATGGGTGTTTTTTCTCCCTTGAAAAAACCTATAGAAAACAAAGAAACGTGAAGGAAACTATGTAATGGAATGTGAGTACTACGAGCGACCAAGAGGAAAGTCTTGAAGGAAAAAGGGTGCTAGAATAAATTCTGATATGGTATTCTCCAGAGGTTTTAGAGAGGCATCAAACTTTTAGAGATAACAATTCAATTGAGTACACCCGTGAGTAAAGTGGGTGGAATGCATCCTCACATTCATCCTTGGATTTTAGATCATGCGGCTAATATGAATGTTGTCACGTGTAATTACTATGGTCCTCTCACGCACAATCAAGGCCTAAGGAAACTTTTTAAAATTCCAGTTTCAGCTCTGAAGTTCTCATAATCCGAAAACCACCCCCTGTATTTTTAGGTATTTCGAAAACCACCCTAAATTTAAAAGTTTCGAATTTATAATTTTTTATCCTGAGGTCTAATTTATTTTATATGGGTGTTACAATTGTTTATGAATTATAATTAATTAAATAGACAACTAAATAATTAACCGTGCTTAATTAAATAATTAATCGTGCTTAATTAAATAATTAACTGAATAAATAATTTAGTAATTAATTAAACACTAATTTTCACTATGATGACAATTTATATTAAGGTGGAACCGAGTTATCACAGTTGGAATGAGAGGTTGTGCTTGAAATGAACACGATGATTTGTTCTACAAAAAATTTTTATGGGTTTTAAATATTTTTTGTGCTACCATTGATTATCAATTGCAAGAATTAAATAACAAATTCAATGATAATATTGTTGACTTACTTGTTTTGAGCATGGTTTTGGATCTAAGAATTAGGTAAAAGTCATTTAATAGTGATGATATTTGTACACTTGTAGATAAATTTTATTCTAGTAATTTCACAAAACAAAACAAAAATTGCATCTAAAAACGGAGTTACAACATTTTGAGCTCGATCTTCCTAATCATTCAAGATTGAATAATTTATCAATTACATATGAATTATGTCGAGGGCTTAGAAAGTCTATCATTTATCCACTTATTGATAGAGTGATTAAACTTGTACTCACTCTCAATCTTACCGCAACTACTAAAAGAACTTTCAAACTTTTTTGATTAAACCATGTAAATAATCAAGAGCAGAGTTTGAATTCGAATAAAAGACCAATTTCTTTATAATTTTTTGATTACATATATTGAAAAATAATTTATTTTAAATTTTATCACAGATTCAATTATAGAAAAGTTTAATAATATGAAAAAATATAGAGCAAAAGTTAAGTGAACTGACCTTATCTTCTCTAACAAAATTCTTTCAAACTTTTAATATTAGGTTTATATATTTATTATATGTGTTTTTTGTTTATAATATAGAAGTTTTTATTTTCACCCCACTTTAAAAAATCCTGGTCCGCCATTACCTAATATGCTATTCGTTTTTTATATTAAGCTCAAGTGATTACTTTTTGAGTGACTTGACGGGGGAAAAAATTAATTTATTGCTTTTTTAATAAATAATTAAGTAAATGTAGTCGTTTTGAAACTATTTATGCATATATAGCAGTCAAACACGTTCCACATAGGCGTGATCGGTTGGAGAGAGACACTTCCCATTTGGGCATGACACATGAGAGAGACACTCCCCATTGGGAGTGTTTCACTAAGTGCTGCCACGTGGCACAAAAGTCAACAGTTTGACCGTAAAATTTTGGAAGTCCATAACTTTTGACTCGGGTGTTCGAATTAGGTATTTTTTTTTATTCCACATAACTTTTCGAGATCTACGTAATGACATTTCATTTGGCATATTTTGTCTGTCACAAAAAATTTTGAATTTATAACAATGATACCATAAGAACGTTTAAACTCAAATTAATAAAGAGAAAACCACATTTTAATTAGGAGAAAGGAGAAGGTTAAAACCCAAATTAATAAAGAGGTAGTAACTATAATCTTCTCCTATTTTTTAAATGTTCTTATTAATTTGGGTTTAAACGTTCTTAGGGTATCATTGTTGTAAATTCAAAAAAATTTATGACAGAAAAAATATGTCAAATGAGGTGTCATTACGTATATCTCAAAAAGTTATGTGAAATCAAAAAAAAAATTACCTAATTCAGACACCCGAGTCAAAAGTTATGGATTTTCAAAGTTTTACGGACAAACTGTAGACTCTTGTGACACGTGGCAGCACCTGTGAAACACGCCCCAATGGGGAGTGTCTCTCTTCTGGGTCACGCCCAAATGGGGAGTGTCTCTCTCCAAACCACTCACGCCCCTGTTGGACGTGTCTCTCTCCTGATCACGCCCCATGTGGGCGGCATGTCTCTCATATGACTCACGCCCCCATATGGACGTGTCTCTTTCCACTGGGTCACATCTCATGGAGGCATATTTGACTGCTATATCTGCATAAATAATTTCAAAACAACTACATTTGCGTAATTATTTATTAAAAAAGTAATAAATTAATTTTTTTTTGCGATCACTTGAGTTCGTGAGGATAATAAGCTCTTTGTATAGCTGAAAGGAAAACTCAAAGAGTGTGACTTTTATGTCGTGGGACTTAATTTTTAGGAGCCTAAACCTCGCTTGATAAATATGTTAAGCCGAAGTAAACTAGGCTATGAGACTATTATAAGCCAGCCGAGCCGCCCTCTCATCATAATGAATCTAGTGAAAACAATTAAAAACGAAAGTAAACACTTTTTTGGTCCCTGGCAATATCTACGAAATTATTTTTAGTCCCTGGCAATAAAAAAGGACCAAATTGGTCCCTAAAATTATGAAAAAAGGGTCACATTAGTCCTTATGTCAACTCATCAATCACTAATGTGGCCCTTTTTACATACTGTTAGGAACCAATTTGGTCCTTTTTTATTGTCAGAGACTAAAAATGATTTCGTAGATATTGTCAGAGACCAAAAAGGATATTTACTCTAAAAACAAAAACACAAAGGTGAACAAATTTACAGTGTTGACAACATTGAATATCTCTCTCTGTCTCTGTCTCTTCAAAGTAATGTAAATATCTAAGTACTTCCCGAAAGGGACATACTCAAGACTCGAACCTTTATCCAACAAGCATGAAGTTGTATCAAGCATAACACTGAAAAAACTTCTACCAAAAAGCTTGAAGTTGGTGGGGCTTTGCCCCTCATTCATTACAAAAAAAAAAAAGCTTGAAGTTGTCAACACTGATCTATAAAAACTTATAATATGGCGTCACAAGTTGTGTGGACAAATGATGTATGTAAGTTCATTTATGGGTTTTATAAGAGTTATGTTGTAGGAAAAATGATTGTGTAATACTATAAAGATTCGTTTTACGTGCCTTTATTTTTTTTATTTTTTTTTGCTTCAAAAAGTGCATGCCCCACAAAATGTTGTGTGTAAGAAATTTTTTTGTGTCATGTAATATGATAGATACAAACCCCTTCATTTATCCCCCAAATATTGTTAATGCAACTTGCTGATTTAGAGTTCATAGTAAAATTCAATAGAATATAATGTTGAGAGCCATTGTGAAAAAAGTTTAGAGTAAATACCCTTTTTGGTCCCTGACAATATCTACGAAATCCTTTTTAGTCTCTGACAATAAAAAAGGACCAAATTGGTCCCTAACAATATGTAAAAAGGGCCACGTTAGTGATGGATGAGTTGACATAAGGACTAATGTGACCCCTTTTTCATAATTTTAGGGACCAATTTGGTCTTTTTTTATTGCCAGGGACTAAAAATAATTTCGTAGATATTGCCAGGGACCAAAAAGGGTGTTTACTCAAAAGTTTATCTACACGAGATTTCTAAAAATATATAAAATTCAGCTTCAACTCGACCTTCTTTACGTCCAAACTATCAGGGTTTTATTTTCAGGCTAGGAATTTTTTGACCTGGACTGCTTCGGTTCTTGAGACATGTGAACCTAGAGATGTAAAAAAAAAAATTTAGGTGGTGTTTGGTTGGGAGCTTTTCAGCGGATATCTATCTTTCTCAAGTATGGCTTTTAGAAACACCATGTTTGTTTCAACGTTTTTCACCAAAAACTCATTTATCCAATTTGTCTGGATTTATGAGAAACATAGATATTCGCACTGTTTAGAAACCCAATTTGAAGGTGAGATTTTTCGGAAAACCGGTTATCTGACTTTTAATGCACTGTTGATTTCATAAAGTTGCCTAATTTTCCCAGTAAAAATTTTCCCCACCAAACAACTTTTTTTTACATTTTTTTACCTATCTCACTTTATCTATCTTTCCAATCATTTCTCTATCTATCTCATTTCCTACTATTCCAAAAAAATTCCATGAACCAAACGCCCCCTTAGACTTTGTCAATTTTATATGAACTAAGACAATAAAAAATTAATAAATCATCATTTTAAATTAAATAAAAATAATTGTGAATTTATGTAACAAACAGTTACTTACATTTAAAATAATTGTGTCAGTTTTTTGCTGACAATTTACAATAAAGTCCATAAAACATCTCCTGTTAAAGTCTTGGTGAGAAGTGGCTTAAGACCCTATGATGACCACTGCAAAACAACCGTAGTGTAGGCACTCTATTAAATGTAATTATTGCATTTGAAAAAATGAGTGGAAGATATATCAACATAAGAATCGCCATTCACGATAGAATAACCTGTATTTTTGTTGTTTAACAGTAATAATATTTTTATATATGACAATTAGAAGACAAAAAAAAATCTTTTGAAAAAAACCAAACAAAACCAAAATATTGGGCCTAGTATGACTTGATTAAATACTTACCATGGAGCCAGGTTTGGAACTATAACAATAACATGGAGCCAGGTTTGGATTGGTAATAATAACTATGACTTGATTAAATACTTACCATTCAACATCTTACTTGACGTGTAGGATTGGTAACAGACGAAACATGGAGCCAGGTTTGGAACTATAACAATAACTTTCTGAAAGAGCCTTACAAAGGGCAAGTTAAAAGCTGATTGTAAAAACAAGAACACTACTACAAATCACATGGCCTAAAAACCACTGCACAAATGGAGAATTTAACCATCCTACTGACAACCAGTAGTCCTCGTTTTAGTACTTTATGCTAAGTCATTAAACCAGGAAAGCAACAGCAGATATCCAGGCACTGTTCAACTTCCTTTTCCTTGCTGGATTTGTTGAAGAAGAACAGCAGCCAGCTGTAATGTTGCCTGTAGACGTTTCTGTGGATCTGCTTCTGCATCTTCCTGCAAGCTACTATCTGTCAATTGCTGATTTCCATTAACCTCTCTTTGTGGTTCTCTTTGAACAATCTGTGACAGTTGAGGCACATTTGACATCTGTTGTTGCTTCTGCAACTGTAGAACTTGACCAAACTGAGATGTTGAGAGTTCAGAATTCACCAGGTTGTTTTCTATATTGTATTTCTGGGATGGTCTGGATGAGGTGTCCGACCCATTAAATCTGTTAATCTGCCTGGGATCACCTGATGCAGATGCACTTAAAGAGCTTCCCGATTGCCTCTGCTGCTCAAGAAGGGATGCAGCTAATTGTGCAAGCTGTTCTGGTTGCAACGCTCCCACAGGCACTGATAAAGGATTTAAAGGTCTTACTTCCGGATGAGATGACTTGCTGTTGCCACAAAATGGAATACCAGACATTCCACTCGAATGTAGGATTGAGTTCACATCTGACACTGTCCTTGGAATGATGGACTGACGCTCCTCAGCAATAGGTTCAACAGCACTACTTGATAGTTGCAACGGTAAAGCTCTATTAGAGATTAAGTTCTGCAGATTGTGAGAAGACCAGTTTGGTCCAGATGTCCGCTGCTGGATAGGAGGATAGTCACGACTTCTTTCATCATGAGACTCAGACATGCTAACCACAGTACGAGCTGAATCCGAAACTGATGGAGCTGCTGCATATTTATTTCGCAGTAACGAAAGATTGCTGATTCCAGAATTACCCATTTCTGAAATAGATGGGGAAGTAGGTATACGTACAGATGAATATGATGGCTTTGAATACGATATATTCTCACTATAAGGCAACAGGTTTTCGTTTTTCATTTCTCTTTGAATGTGTATGGGACCATGATTTAAACCAGGATTCTCCAACCTCAGAATAACACCAGATATGCTCAATTTACCAGGTACCTTCAGCACTTTCTCTGAGAAATCTGATGGAGGTACAAGAAATAAGGTGGTTTTGTCATCCAACTTGGCAACCGCAGCCCGCTGCTTTTCCTCCAGATAATGCATAAATTCATTGTAGAATTCAATGTCTGCATCACTTCCAGGAACAAAGAAAACAACCCAAACGCCAACTGCTTGGTAGTAATGCTTCGAAAGCATATCTAGACCAGTTCTTGCAGTACAATCCAGGAATTCAGGTCTGAAATCAATGTATGACATTAACACCCAACATAGAACAATTGAGAGGAAAAATAATGACAGCAGAGTTCTTTGGCATTGTGCTATAGTTGCATGGTTATGATATTAATGACAACAGTATAGGGGTGGCAATTTTACACATGACACCAGAAATTCGTGGTCGAGTAAATCCATTTTCAAATGCATGTCATGTTCGTGTTGGCAAAAATTGACATGAAAAAATTCATGTCGTGTTGCATAGCAACATGCAAACAAGATACCGACCCGTGCTCATCTTCTTCTAGGTTATTCATGTGTCAAATTAACACAATATTGGTGAAAGCAACATCTAATACACAGACAAATTCGTATCGTATCAACTCGCATAATATGCAGGATACTTTGAGATTGGCAGGTTATTCGTGTTATGTCGACCCAAAAAATAAGCAAGTTGTATTTGTGTCAAAGGTTTTGACACAAATAAACACAAATATTTATTTGTGTCATACTTGTGTCGAGTACATTCATATTCGTGTCAGACCTCTTCCTGACACGAACATGACCTGCTAACATGAGTTGCCATCCCACTATAGTGTAATGCCAAGAATATTTTACGGTCATTTTGTTGGAGAGTTGATCTTTTGGCTTCAATGTGGCTATCAGCACATGGGTTTTATTTAGGGGGATTTTCTATTGGATTTACAGAGGGGATTGGCGAGATTCTTTGAGCAGAGAAAAAAGGAGAGAATAGAAACTGAATAATCAGAAATGGATATTGTTTTGATACGAAGGATGTAATATAAACTACAAAGCATTTAACTCTATTTATACTAATATTAGACTCCAAATCATAAATAAATAAGGAAATAAATCATGAAATATAATAAAAATATGAAAATTACTCCCAAGAGATCATCTAAGATACTCTAAATTATTATAAAGATATAATAATGATATTATAAGATATTTACTAGTACTCTAAGGAACCAACTATCCTAAAAACTTAAATTGTTAAGCGATGGCACATGAATATTTTCATATTGCATCTCTTTAACACCCACTCAACAAGAGCCCTTGGGCTTAAGATGTGAATCATGCCTAGGCCCACCCACCTTTTGCTACAGTTCAACGTTTTATTAGAAAAACAAGGCACAGCAAGGACCGCACTATAACACCAGAGTATAAACATTTATCTGAAAGCCTTACATGGTTATCAAACAATAGTTCATTTAGTACTAAACTTGTTCCTATAGACCATGAAGCAATCCTGAATTTAGAAGGAATTAAATTATTCATAAAATACAGGTAACAATAATTAAAATCTCAACCATTTAATAAAAGAAATTAAGCATTGTATCCATAAGCTATAAAGAACGGTCTAACAAGCTTTCAATTAACTTCGGGAATGGAATAATATTGGGGCTTGCAATAAAGAAAAGTTACGCTCAGGTGCTGTACACAATTGAGTCAATAGTACAAGCATTGAGCATACTTTAAATGGAGGGAAGAAGGGGTGGGGTTGGGAGTGAAGGAGGAACATGAATATTGAGTCTTCGGTAAATAAAACAAATTTCTTAATGTAAAAGAAATCTTCATTAGATTATGACGAGACCTTGGGATGTATCACCCAAAAGCTAGCTCAAAGGGTGAGAGTGTTCAAGGCCTTATAAACCCCACATTAGTTGCCCATACAACCAATGTGAGACTTCAAGTCCCATACCTTGCAAATGGAACCTAACATTAAAAAATAAAATAGAAAAAGAGAAAAAATGAAGAATAAAAAAAGGAGAGAATTGAATTCTTAACATCTATTATTGATAGAAATTGCCAATTAAGTTGTCCTCAAACGTGTGGTCATGGTGACAATATGAAAAAGGAAGAAAGAGAACAGAATGATACTAGGAGTGTGCGTGGGGACACGCACTAGGGAAGCGTGGTGGAATGTTGGATTCCATTTGCAAGGTATGGGACTTGAAGTCCCTCATTGGTTGTATAGACAACTAATGTGGGGTTTATAAGGCTTTGGGCACTCCCACCCTTTGAGCTAGCTTTTGGGATGATACATCCCAAGGTCTCATCAGATTATAATAACGCTATAGTCACACTTTTCTTTTACAAACTAGCACTAACACACACAAGGCTTCCTCTTATTGTAATGATTAAGAGTTCACGTACAGTCATTTTAAGATGCAACCACCTCTCAGTTTGCACAGCATTATAAGGATTACATTTGCATAAACATCATTTCTGATTTATAATATCATGAGTATATCTTAGAATAGTTTAGAGTATCTTAGATGGTCTCTTAGGAATAGTTTTCATATTTCGTTTTATTTCATGATTTGTTTCCTCATTTAATTTCAATTATGACTCTTCTATTAGTTTATATAGAGCTTAGTACTTTGTCTTTTGTAACACATACTATCATATATCCTTCACAACAATATCAATATGATTCTGAATATTCCTTTGCTCTCTTCCTACTTCCCTACCTACAGTTATCATTCATCAAGCCATTGGATTTAAAAAAAAAAGACAAACCTCAAATGAACTAAAGAGTAAAGACCACATGACATGAATGACTTAGCAACCTAGGCTCAAAATATGAGAAAGTCATAGTTTATGCTAACCTAGCATAAAACGATATATAAAAATACCCTGGGACAGTAAAAATTAACTTGAAAGCTTGTGGTAACGACCAGTAAGTCACTGATTTGACCTAGAGTCTAAATAAATATATGCTGTGGATAATAAAAATGTCTAGGAATGTTACTTATCCTCTTTTGTACTGTTAATAAAAAGTTAAAGAGGAGAGAGGTTGCCCCATTCCAATGTCAGCAAGAACTTACAGATTACAAGAATTTGTCTTATGTAATAGAGGCAATTTTCTTTTTCCTTTTTTTTCCCCTTTCGCATCTCCATGTTTTTGTTACCCCTTTCAAAAGCAGTTCTGGCTCATGGGAGTCTTTGTAAAATTTGACTAGTTAAGAAATAGAAAAAAGAAAACTATTTCCAAGCTAATATAAGATATTCTAATCTAGAAAAATACATTTTAAAAGGAATATTTTATACTTACAACAAGATATCTAGGACTTTCCCCACAGGGAAGCAGCGTGCACGACAAACAGGGGTTCCACCTTTTGCAATGGTTCCTTCCCATTTCCACTCAGTTACAGATGAATTATCAGGTTCAGGTGTGAATCTTTTCTTCTCAACAAAATTTGATTTCAGAGGATCACCAGGACCCATTTGGAAACTGTCATAAGGCTTCCAGTCATGTCTATCGAATCTAGCCATAGGTGAATTTGGTGGGCGATCAAAAGTCTGTCCACAAGCGAAATTTCCAGAATCAAAGTTTTTATCGAAAGACTCATGTTGCGGAAAATCAGAGAACCTTGGGAAAACATGTTTCTGTCTTTCTAACTCGGAAAAAGGATACTCTGGAAGCTCGCTCTCAGGAGAAGAACCAGTCTTAAGCTTTTTAGCCTCACGTAGATAGGGAACATCTTCTGACAAGGCCAGTGGATCTTCAAAGAACACACCCTTTTGAGGATATCTCTGTGAAAAATCACCAAGATGAACATGTCTTTCTCTTGATGGACTACTTATATGTTCATGGATTTCTTGATATACTCCTAGAGGAGTCCCCTTCTCTCCAATTCTGTGCTCGTATGGGTTAGCTCCACCAGCCCATGAAGAACCCCTTTTGTTAAAATCATAAGCATCAGAATCTCCAGAATCCCAATTCAGGAAAGAGTTTGGAGAACTAATGTTCTGATCTCCACTGTAGCTCCTATCCTGCCTTAGGTGCTCAGAAGAGCCATTACGACCACTTGACTTGTAAAGTGGGGAGCGAGGGGCATTAAGTGAGCTCCTCCCACTGCTTGATGAACCTGCTTCACTCTTGGCAAAACAAATATGTACACGGGGATTCCCAAATAATTTTCCCTTCAGAGTATCTCTTGCTCTGTATGCTGACATCAGACTCCTAAAGCGAACAAAGGCATAACTACGACCTGGAAATGTTGTAATCTTCACAATCTCACCAAATGGAGAAAAAGCCTTTCGTAAAATTGATTCATCCACCTTCAACAGAGCTGGGAACCCAATCCACAAAACCTCACTGGGCTCTGGATTTTTATCACTCAGCTTGGATTTGTCAGAATAATGCGGTTCAGGGCTACCATGGCGTCCTCTAAACTCTCTTTGAGAGAAAGGAGACCCCCTTAACGCTGAGCTTCGTTCATCCCATGAGTAATCTTCATCACGTGATACTGTTGATGATTTATCCTGTGATTAAGAATATAAACTAAATGTAAAATTATCATAAATTTCAAGTATTCAGATTTTAATACTTTGAAAGGAAAATTCTGATTCCATAACCAGGCTTACATCACAAGATGACAATTATGAAGGTAAGTGATTATACATCCAACATCTTGAAGCACGAAGTATTAAGTTAACTAAACAAGCATTTTTGCATTCACAGCTTGTTTAATACAAAGCAAACCTTGCATCTAATGGTGGCATAACGCACAAAACCCATAGAACTGGAACAAGTCTAAAATTGCACCATCAAGACTTGAGCACATATCCAACATACAGACATAGAGAATAACTTTACACAAGAAGAAATTTATTAATAGAATAATCACAACAGTAGTATATATGAGGACTTGACCTAAATAAAAACCAGAAGAATGGACGAACAAAATTAATCAAGATCAACCACTCCAAGCTCTTCAATTAGGACAAGTACAATTCAATCTTATCCCATTAGGTGGAATCAGGTACATTAATCAATCCGTTAAAATTACAAGGTTTTCGGTATAGGGGGAGAAAAAGGAGAAAGTAGAGACTAAATATTGACTTCATATGATGTGTTGTTTTGTGATTCAAAAGACAAAACTCTAAGCTCTATACTAATAGAAGATTCCTAATCCTAATTAAATATGGAAATAAATCTTGAAATATACAGAAATATGAAAAATATTCCAAAGAGCCGTCTAAGATACTCTAAACTATTCCAAGATATAATCATACGATATTATGAGATATCCTCTAGACATTCATATTCCGCTCAAGCTAAAACTTACTAAACTTTAAGCTTGTTATAAATAAATCCTTTAAGAAAAATAAACAACCAAACAATATAATATGGGCTCTACAAAACATGGCTAGAAAGGCAAGATACTCAAAATCATGCGCCAACTCATAGGATTGTACAATTATACATGGGGAAAACATGGACCGGCCATGCATCAGATCCGATCAAACTAGGTCAAAACCGGTGACCCAGTCGGGTCATGCATTTTTATAAATAAAAAAATAAAAAAACCAAAAACCAAAATTGTTTCATCTTGTCAGAAAAGATAGGATAAACCAAAATATGAATTCTTGAATTACAGGAAATGAGACTGTGGCAGAAAATTGGCTTTTTTCTTTTCCTTTTGATAAAAATATTACTAAGAAAGAACGGAGAATTAACAAGAAAAAGGATGAGCAATGCTCAGAACCAAAGTAAAAAGGAGATCTAAACTACAAATCAACCCCAACTCTAACAAAATGAAAGTAACAATACCACCATAATCTCCTTCAATATCCGAAACAGGAATGTTTTGCATAAACAATAAGGTAAACATCAAGGTGAACTATCTTATCCCAAAAGAAAGTAATATTATCATTGAAGATTCTACAATTTCTTTTGTTACGACCGGAATTGTAAATGGGGGAACTTATGGCCTGAAAAGTAATGAAGAACTACTAGTTATATTGAAGACAAATCTGATACCTAGAATAAACAGAAAGCTGCTGAGATGGTTAACTTCAATGCTGGTGAACATGTTGTTATCCTTGAATTTGGACAGATGGACCAGGTCCTTGCCAATTTCCAATCCAGTGAATTGGCTTCAGTATGAGATAGCAAAACAGTAGGATGGTCTTATGTGGCATTTTATATTGACCCCACAGTAGTAAAAGCATCTAGAATACTTGGTTTCCCTTTTCTCTATGAGGATGGGTCATATCCAGCCGTTCTTCAATCTGCTAGTATCTATTCTCCAACAGCTATCGTGGTTATGTACAATTGGAAAGAGAAGACAATTGAAGCTGATCGTAGGCTACGATTGACTTTACGTGCAATCCCAATCTGTGCCAGAGCTCAAGATCTGGAGTATCTTTTAAATATGAAGAAGGCAGGTAGTTTGAAAATGCAAAGACTAGCTTACAACTATGTTCTAAGGAAGCTGCTGAATGGCCTTGCTGTGATGTATGACAATGTAGCATTTTTGAGCTTCATGACTGAAAGATCATGGGTTCGAATCCAGGAAACAGCCTCTTTGCAATTATGCAAGGGTAAAGCTGCATACAAGGATTTCCTCCACCCCACACTCGCTAGTCGAGTATAACGGGGAGTGGTTTAGTAGAGATTCCACAGAACTACAAGTTCAAGAAGCAAACAGTCATTCTGAATATCGGGAATTAGATATTATGAAACCACTGCAGGTGAAGGTTGCTGACTTGATGGAGGAAGGTGTATGGTTGGCAACATCTTCACCAGGATTTAAATTATCCCAATTGAACCAGAAAAATCAATCTCCATTAGCTCAAGTCCTTGTCCAATGGAAGATTCCTAGGAAGATGTCACCATGATTCAGGGCTAGTTTCCAGATTTCAACCTTGGGGACAAGGTTGTTTCAAAGGGAGGAGGTATTTTTACAACCGGAATTGTAAGAACCTATGGCCCGGAAAGTATATTCCCCAAGCAATAAACCTAGGCAGCAATTAGATTAGTTGAGGGCCTTAATTAGGGGCCAGGTTAGTTAACAGTGTGGGACCCAATAGCTGGTTAGGTAGTTAGGCAATTAGAAGCTTAGGAGGGAACCTTTCTTGTTCACCTCTTCCCCTATCTCTCAATCCCTTCCAACCACATTATTGTAATCCATATAACTACTGAACTAAGACCCTTAAGACCTTTTGATCCAATGACAAATTGAAGCCAAAGAAAGTACATCCCAAATCTGAAGGTCACAAGAACAACTTAACATACACAGTTGAACCACAAGCTCAGAGCAAACAAGTAAACGTGAAAACAAGTGGATATTGATATCAGATATGTGGAGGGAAAGAGAGAGAGAGCGCCCTATGTTTTCTTCTGACCTTCATATCAAGTACCCCAAACCAAAATGTACTATTCCGAAAACAAACCTTATAATTCCTGTTAGAATAGGAAATATAATATGTATAGATTTGTATAGATTGCTTTCTTGTTTGTAAATATTTTTTTCCTATTTAGGATTTGGATTAGGTCTGGGCTTCTCGCTTAAGCCCCTTAGGGCCTCTATATATTGTAACTCTTTGTATCAATTTAATACACAACATATTATTTTATATTTAAGTTGGTACCCTCGCTTTCGCTTAAAACCTCGTTTTTGCTTTAAAACCTAAGCCTACTGCTTAGGTGTTCTCTTTTTCTTTGTTGTGTGTCCTTTCGGCAAGTCATCTAAGTTGTGAGCCCCTTTAAATTGATTTTCGTACTTGTCAGCACCTCCGTCCGCCACTGGAACTGCCGTTCTTCATTGTTCCAGTCACCAGAGAACTTTTCCGGCGACGTTTTGAGCCGGGACACCTACTATCAGCTCCTCCTCTCTCTGGCGACCTGTTCTGTGGAAGACCCACCACCGTTGCAGCCTCCATATGCCCCCACGTGTGGTGCTCACGCGCCACCTTCCACTGGCGCGTGTGCACTGTTCTGGCGTCCTTTTTCGGCTGTTCCAGGACAGACAAGCTCGTCCTCTCCTACTTTATCCAGATTTGTGGTTGGTTCTTCGTGGGTCTCACTTTTTGTGTATGCCTCCTCTTGATTGGCGATCAGGTTAGTTTCTATTCACTTGGTTCTGTACCTTTGTGATTTATTTTAATGGAAGCAGCTTCTCCTGTTCACTCGGAGATCAATTCTCCTCCTCGTCCTGCCAAAAGTTCCTCAAGTATCATCTCCACCAATGTTGAGCCCATTACCTCCTCCAAACTGAAGGGTTCTGTTAATTACAAGAATTGGGCCACCTCTGTTCGAGTTTGGTTCTTTGGACAGGGACATAGGCAACATCTAACAGTTAAATCTACTGATATTTCTAAGGAAGAAAAATCTGATTGGGAAAGGATTAACAACCAGCTTCTGAGTATCCTTTGGCAGTCTATTGATCCAATCGTTTTGGATATTTTCTATTCTTTTCAAACATGCAATGAAGTGTGGGAGGAAGCAAAACACCTCTACACTAATGATGTTCAGCAGCTCTATTCCATTATGTCTCAGTTTATGGATTTGTGCAAATCATCTGACACTCAGATGGAGACATGTTGGCAAAAATCGATCTTTGATGCAGGCATATTTGGACTCAATTCTGACTGACTCATCTCCCTCTCGTTGATTCTTCCCTTCCGGCTCCTTCACTAGAGGCTCTTCCCATTGCCCAAAGAAAAGGCATACGTACTACTCGTAAGCTTTATCCTCTTTATATTTTTTTGAGCTATGACCGTCTTTCTACTCCTCATTTCACCTTTGTTTCTAGTCTTTCTTCTGTTTCTATTTCTAAGACCACAGGTAAATCACTTTCCCATCCAAGGTGGCGCCAAGCGATGCTTGATGAGATGACTGCACTTCATTCCAATGGCACTTGGGATCTTGTTCCTGCTCCTCCAAAGAAGTCTATTGTTGATTGTGCTGGGTCTTTACTGTCAAAATTGGACCTGATGGTCATGTTGATCGTCTCAAGGCGCGCTTAGTTGCAAAGGGTTTTACTCAAATCTTCGGCCTTGACTATAGTGACACATTCTCTTCGGTCACTAAGATGGCATCTGTTCGCATGTTTCTTGCTCTTGCTGCTGTTTGTCACTGGCCACTCCTTCAACTTGACATCAAAAACGCTTTTCTTCATGGTGATTTACAAGAAGAAGTTTACATGGAGCAACCACCTGGCTTTGTTGCTCAGAGGGAGTCTTGGAAGGTGTGCCGACTTCGTAAATCCTTATATGGTCTCAAGTAGTCTCCACGGGCATGCTTCAGTCGCTTCAGTTCTGCTGTTCAGGCTTTTGGCTTAATCCGCAGCAAAGTTGACCATTCTGTATTTTTGTTAAGAACCTTGAGGTCACCACCCCAAAAGCTAGCTCAAAGGGTGGGAGTGTCCAAGGCCTTATAAACTCCACATTAGTTGCTCTTCAACCAATGTGGGACTATATATCTCAACATGCCCCCTCACGCAAGAGCCCTCTTGGCTTGAAGCGTGGATTATGCA